CACACACACACACACACACAATTGTAAATACACACATACACATTTTTAATAAATTTTATATATTCTATATCCGTAAAAAAAAATCTAATTATTTACACGCCTCTCCATGCGTTCCCATCCCTATGTCTCTCTTGCGCTAGTTTTAAGTATTGTTATCTCACATGCGTTAATCTCAACATTATCGTTCTCTCTTGCATGCGTCGTCTTCGCGCTATCGTTCTCTCTTTCGCGCGCGCTAATTGTAAGTCTCGCAATATTATCGTTCTCTCTCGCACGCGTTGTTATTCTCGATATTATCGTTCTTTCTCTTTCGCTTAGAATACTCGTTGTTCACTTACCTTTGCGTCGTCCTTCTCCCATCTATACGTCGCCCTTGTCCCACGTTAACGCCATCCTTGTCGCACTCGTAGTACTGTCCTCTTCACACTTTGCACTGTCCTTTTCCCATACGTTGCGCTGTCCTTCTCACACGCCGTTTTCTTTCCGCTGATCCCCCTTCACCGCGCGGACCCCCTCGCCCATCGCTCGCGCCGCGGATCCCCCTTCACTGCGCGGACCCCCTCGTCCATCTCTCGCGCCGTGGATCCCCCTTCACCTCGCAGACTCCCTCGTCCATCGCTCGCGCCGTGGATCCCCCTTCCCCGCGGGTGACGTCACCCACCGCGCGCCGCGGTTCCTCCTTCCCCGCGCGTGACGTCACTCGCCCCCGCACCGCGGTTCCCCTCGCGCCTCACCCCCCCTGAGAGGACCTGAGTTAGAACTCTCCTAGTCTCACTACTTCAATTATTATTTACAATTCCGTGCAATTAGTTAAAGGGTCGTTTTAGTCATCAGTGGATTAGGCCTACTGAAGATACCACTTAAAAAAACGCATCAACAATAGTACCTCATGGGTGACGTGGAAAGCTATTGCCATACGCCCGCTCCTGAGCGCCGAGCAGCTCGTAGGCTTTGCGCGGGACGGCGAGGTAAGGGGGGACGCGCTAGGCGGAGCCAGCTGAAAATCGGCCGAAATGTGCAGTTCTTGCCGAGCTCTGCTATAGAAAATACAAATTTTTTATTTTTTCGATTTGAAAATAATTGCAATAGATTGACGAGATTTTTACGAATGACACCAAACACGACATAAATCGGGTTATTTTTAATTAAATATATGATTAAAATTTAATAATTTATTTCATTAAAAATAATCCGATTTATGTCGTGTTTGATATCATTTTAATTGTAAAAATCTCATTAACCCACTGCAATTATTTTAAAACCAAAAAATAATTGATATGAAAATTTTATTTTTGGTGATAACGACTACCCGATAGGATAAATAAACAATAGGTCTCGAATTCTCAAATTCGCGTGATAGATAGGACATTTTTACATATAAGCGTTCGACGATAATACGAAATTAATTGAGTCGCGAGTCTTATTTATAAACAAAGATAGTGAATCTCGGCAACAATACATATGCCTGGGGCCTCTCGATTTTTATTTTCGAGCAAGAGATAACGGACATGTAAGTATAAGCGTACGTGTGAAGCGCCGAGCTCACTTGTTTGTTATCCCTCTCTACTGTGGTACCGTGTTACGTGTTAGCCGGCAATTGGCGTCAGTATTCGAGTCGTCGAGCGTCGAGCCAGACAGAAGGAAAAATCCTTGCACTCTAGCCAAGCAATGTCGAGATGTAAGTACTTTGTCCTATACATATGTCCTATACATATGTATTTAGTAATATTTCTAGTTGAATATATTATGATAATTTATGATTTATAATATATTAGTAGAAATAATCAGTATTTTCCATTTAGCGTCACAAGTCGACGCAAGTGTCATTCTAATCTCTTTGTTCTTCATAGATATTGGAAAAAAACAGAATGATGCCTGTGTCGACTTGTATCTCTAAATGGAAAGGATTCAATGTTATATACATCTCTCTCTCTCTCTCTCTCTCTCTCTCTCTCTCTCTCTCTCTCTTATTCTTTATCTTATTTAGTATATTTTTTATGTTGCAGCTCGAAGTGAGGGTAATTTTAATACAAGGTCGGGGCGGGAGGCATCGGAAGCGGCGACAGCGACGGCGAAGATGCTATCGTCGTCGACGACGACGGTATCAACTTCAAAGTTACCGCCGCCGATGTCGACGCCGATGTCGACGCCGACGCCGACGCCGACGCCGACGCCGACGCCAATGCCGAAGCTGGCGTCAAGAAATGTATCGACGTCACCATTGGAGAACAGGAAATTTGACGCAAATAGACGGGGCCCGAGGATGAAGGAAAACATGCAAAAGATTAGTTTATTATTTAGTTTTATAAAGTTATATGTTATAAGAAAATAAGATATGTACAACATTTTTAAAAAATATTTATGCAATAAATACGTCTCACATGATACCGGTAACGGCGTCAACAATTCTTCTAATCATAATGTTATATATTTTTATTTTCTTTCTTTATACATACACACATATAAATTTTATATGTACATAAGTACTAATTTTTTAATTTTTGTTCAGCGTCTCAATGAAGGTCGAAGGGCCGTCAATCGAGAGAAGCGGAAGGCACGAAAATACGTTCCCGGCATATGTACAACCTAATACATACAGGGTCTACCAAAAGTGTGGAAACCCCTAAATATCTCGGAAAATATACGTTTTACAGAAAAGTGTTTCCAACAAAAGTTGTAGGGTTTAAGAAGATCTATATACTGATTCTATCAGTTTGACCTTGGATGGCGTCGTCAAGGTCAGGTCAAGGTCACATTGACTTTTTTAAATGACACCCCCTACATTTGATTGCATATTCTTATAGCTTAATTCAAGAGCTTTCCAAAACACTATAATAATGTTCATTTTTATTAAGTACTTTGCGAGTTATGAGGGTTGAAATAATTTCTTAATTTTACATAAACCATAAAATATCTAGTAAACCATTCATTTTTCGATTATCTTACCTTCATACTTTTATGTACAAAATAATGAAAGGAATCAATTGGTGTAAAGAAAACATACAGTTGTTTTTAAGAAAAAATATGGAATTGTTAATTGCAAATTACATATTTTTTCTTAGAAACAACTATGTGTTTTCTTTACACCAATTGATTCCTCTCATTAATTTGTACATAAAAGTATGAAGGTAAGATAATCGAAAAATGAATGGTTTACTAGATATTTTATGGTTTATGTAAAATTAAGAAATTATTTCAACCCTCATAACTCGCAAAGTACTTAATAAAAATGAACATTATTATAGTGTTTTGGAAAGCTCTTGAATTAAGCTATAAGAATATGCAATCAAATGTAGGGGGTGTCATTTAAAAAAGTCAATGTGACCTTGACCTGACCTTGACGACGCCATCCAAGGTCAAACTGATAGAATCAGTATATAGATCTTCTTAAACCCTACAACTTTTGTTGGAAACACTTTTCTGTAAAACGTATATTTTCCGAGATATTTAGGGGTTTCCACACTTTTGGTAGACCCTGTATATACCGGCAACGTACATGGGACTCTCGCCACCTGCGTATGTTCCATCCGCGGGGTATATGCCTGCGCCACCCGCCGCACCCACGGGATATGTGCCCGCGCCGCCCGCTGTACTCATGGGATATGTGCCCGCGCCGCCCGCTGTACTCACGGGATATGTGCCCGCGCCATTCACGGTGCCCGCACTCTCCGCATCATCCGCAGGATACGTGCCCACTGCTTACCTGCCGCCTGCACCACCCGGATATCTTCGATATTAATATTTTTAACATTAATATTTATAATAATATGTTTCATATATTATAATGTTCATATATATTTCTTACACACACACACACACACGCATACGCACACATTGTATTACACACACACGTAGGGGTAAACAGTACAGTTATTAGCCACTCTACAATGATTGGCCACATTTAAAAAAATTAAAGATTAAAAGAAAATACTATTACAATGTTTTTAATTACAAATAAAAAAATATTTAATACATTTTTCTGCTTCAAATACAATTAATATTTAATTATTTTCTATATATTACAATTTATATAAATAATGATTAAAATGACTTTGGTAACATACTTGAAAATTGTTGCCATTCAATCAAAAAACCGTAAGAGTGGAACCAACAATTTGCAAATTTTTAAATGTTTTTATGACATATAATTTTTGTTTTCGTGACATGCATTAATAAAGTTTAAATTTTGTAAAAAAAATTCATAAAATTTATTCGGTGAAAATAACATACATATTTTAAAAGTTATATTATGCCAACGACTAACATACGATTGACGTTTTACAACAGTAATTGGCCATTCAGCCAATTATTGTTTTATGGTTATGGAAACTATGTGACAATTATTGGCTTCTTACATCGAGTGACAGATAAGACAGTAAGTTATATTTGTTATTAAAAGATATATTTTTATTATATTTATTAAAAGATATATTAATATATTTATTAAAAGATATATTTTTCAGCTGTAACCATATTAGAAAAGAAAAAACTTGCTGAAAAATTAAAAGAACAAAAAAAATTAGCAAGATTACAAAAACAACAGGAAAAAAATGATGTCACAAAAAGTTAAAAAAGAAAAAATTGACAATAAAGAAAATACTGATGAAGAACCAGAAAGAACAAGGAAAAAGAAAGATCAGGCAATCTTAAAACCAAAAATTTTGAAAAATGAAATATTTCCAAAAAAAGTTCGTCTAGTTAAAAATAATATTTGTTAAACAAAATTTGTTTCTCTTGTTTATATTATAATTAATATATAATAATTAATATACAATTAATAATAACGTTTATCTCTTATGTTAAATATATGTAATAAAATGGTTGTTCGAAAAGTAATTTCGTTTTTTCCCAACAGAGGACTTAATTGTATTTTTTCACAGCCAACTTCACACTTAAACCGCATAAGCATTATATATTTTGACAGCTGATATAGCAAGGCTTGCTTGTGAAAAAGTTCGATTGATTCTACGCAGTAGTTTTTGGTTGGTGCCCTTTCAAATATGGAAAGTGAAAAGCAGCATTTTCGGCATATTTTATTTTTTTACTATCGAAAAGGTAAAAATGCTGTTCAAGTAAGAAAAAAATTATCCGATGTGTATGGAGAAGATATATTGACAGAACGCCAATGCCAAAACTGGTTTGCAAAATTTCGACCCGGCAATTTTGATGTTGAAGATGTACCACGTTCTGGAAGGCCAGTTGAAGCTGATGAAGACACAATAAAGGCATTAATTGATGCAAACCGGCGAATAACAACTCGTGAGATCGCTGAGAGATTAAATTTATCGAATTCGACCGTTCATGATCATTTGAAACGCCTAGGTTTAATCTCAAAGCTCGACATATGGGTTCCTCATGTTCATACGGAAAGAAATTTGTGCCGTCGCGTTGACGTTTGTGATTTGGTTCTCAAACGTCAAGAAAATAATCCATTTTTGGAGCGCATCATCACTGGAGACGAGAAATGGGTTGTCTACAACAATGTTAAACGCAAGAGATCATGGACTAAAAAAGATGAACCGGCTCAAAGCACTTCGAAAGCCGATATTCATAAAAAAAAAGTGATGCTATCTATTTCGTGGGATTTCAAAGGAATCGTTTTTTTGAGCTTCTACCGGACAACAACGATCAATTCTGAAGTGTACTGTCATCAGCTGGACAAATTGAATGATTCACTTAAACAGAAAAGGTCAAAATTGATCAAAAGAAAAGGTATAGTGTTCCACCAAGATAATGCGAGACCTCATACAAGTTTGGTAACTCGCCAAAAGCTTTTACAGCTTGGATGGTATATACTGCCACACCCACCATATTCTCCAGATCTGGCACCTTCTGATTATTATTTGTTCCGGTCTCTACAAAATTTTTTAGACGGTAAAAAAACCTTTACTTCAAATGAGGAGGTCAAAAATCACCTGGATCAGTTTTTTGCCAGCAAAGAACAAAAATTTTATGAACGTGGAATCATACTACTGCCAGAAAGATGGCAAAAGGTATTGGACCAGAATGGACAATATATAATTTAATAAAATATTTATTCACTATAAGAAAATCGTCTTTCATTTTCATAAGAAAAAAGGAAATTACTTTCCGAACAACCTATTGATTTAATAATTTTAGTTTTTTGATGCCAAATAATTTCTTTGTCACTGTTTAATTATGTACTCATTCTTGCATGGATAGAGGCCAATCACTGTCAAACTGTTAGACAATGACTGTGTTAATATGGCCAATGATTATCTTTTTTGACAGGATAAGTGTTTTTTTACATAATTTTTATTAATTTCTAAATTTTTATGATGGATTTTATTTTATTATGAATCATTATTATTTTTTACAACTATTAGTAGTAATTTTTTTTCTAAATTATTAAATTCAGGTTAATAATTCAATTTTTGTTACGCGATCTTGCTTGGCCAATCACTATACTGTTTACCCCTATATGTTACATATTTTAGTTTCTTTTTTTAAATATTACTAATGCATGAAAAAAAAATTACATTATGTTCATGTTATGATTGAATCCATTTAATTAATATATCTATGTTTCGAAAATTAAAGATATATTTTTTAGATAAATACTCTACAATTTTTAATATTATTATATTATGTAACGGGCATTCTCCGTTAGGGTCGCGGATAACTGCAGTTGTATCTCCAAGGATCGGTTAGGCAAGCGCATTAAAAAAAAATACGCGTGGTTCTTTAATAAATGTATGTATTTGAGTGCTAAATATATATAGTGGTGTCAATGGTGTGTATGTGTAGGTGTGCGTGTATTTTGAACGGTACGACGCGTGGATCGGTTGTGCGTGCGTGCGTGCGTGTGTGTGTGTGTGTGCGCGCGCGCGCGCGCGTGAAATTCCTCGGGCGCAAAAACGCGATAAGCGATGAGTTTCTTTCGCTTGATCGTTGTATCGCCGGATTAAATGTTTCGGAAAACGGCAGCGTTTATCTCGCTCGTATGCAACGCGGAAAGATGCGCTTCCGGGATGTGCTATAGTTCTTAAGTGCGGTTCGGATGCCGCAAGTCTGGTTCGAAACGGTCATATTGTTTTCGCGCAGTGTGTGATTTTCGGAAATCAGCGGATTAAATCTAATTTCGCTCGCGATGCGATCGATGACCGCGTGACGTAAGCGGTGCGTGTTTACGCTGTTTTTTGCTCGCGATCTTTTTCCTGATATTCGTGGAATTGTGCCGTATTTTCCCCGGATGGTGTGGTCGGGATTTCCGGGATAGTCAGTGCTAGCGGGAACAACCCGCTGGGGGCAGCTCTCCTCTCTACCTCCGTTTGTATTGACTGGACTAGGATGGATGCTGCGTGCATACCGAGATCTCCCGGTTAAATCGGGGTGCGCCCAATTTAGTTTCGCACGTAAAAAAAATGGAGGCATCTACTTAATCGGACCTCTGAGATCTCCCAGGTGTGGTGGAGAGCACCCCATCGCTTGGTCACGAATCTTTTCGACTCTTTGGATGGCTTTCTTTTGCGACTGCTCGCTCAAGAAGCTCGGAACAAAAAGGTGCCCATCTGGTTGATAGGCCCCCTTTTCATACTGGGCTAATTAGTCCGCACCGGCGTACATTGGAATCGCCCCCACCGAGCGGACGGGGAGACGGAACGGTGTGGGCTTGTGGGAGCGCGGCGGAGCTGGGGAGATTTAACTCCTTCGCTCGGTAGTCGTCGGCCGTTTTCGGCGCTCTTCGCCGATTCGGTCTGGCTCGGTCTTAAGTCATTGTGGCATTTAAAAAAATGTGGCGCTACACGCCCTGCCCTTGTCCGGCGGTGTTCTGTCGGGCGGCAGCTTTCAGTTCGCATGTTGGACATAATTAGGGGGGGTGCAAGGGTGCATCATTACATATTATTTAATTTAATATATCATTAATCGATCTATCAAGGTATATACAACTTTATAGCACAAATTTGTTCACTGCAAGTTATCTAAATGACTATCTAATGTAAATTTATTAATTGTAAAGGACATTAATTCAGCATTTTTAGAATCGTTTTCTACATCATCACATCATAGCATAACTTCGTCAGTCTCATCATTGCCAACAAGTGTTAAAGATTCTTCAAATTCATCTTCTATTGATGAGGTATTTAATTCCATTTCATATAATTTCGTTAATTAATAAATTAATTATAAAATTTATTTTAATATCTCCTTTCTTTTTCGTTTTCTTTTTATTTTATTTTTTTATATATTTATATTATTACTTTCTTTTTTGCTTTTCTTTCTTCTAGTTTCTATTTTTTTATTATTTCTTATTTTTTCTAAACTTTCTTCAAATTTATTTCATTTAATTTGTTTAGTAGATACGATCATAAAAAAGAGTTTTATACACACATAATGCTGACGCATATATATGCTTATTTACATCTTTTGTAGGTATTTTATTCTGATACATCACGCACATATCCAGATATATATCGAACACATCTCGGTCACCAATACATAGATTAAAATGAATAAGAACAGCCTTTGCAATTATCAAATTTAGCATAAAATATTGAAACATCTTCAAATTCATCTATTGATAAGACTCAATCTCTACCAATATCTAATCTTGAATAAGACATTTATAAATCATCACTCAATAAGTTTAACATAGAAAACAAACGACGAAATAATATAAAAACTACAGTTAAAATAGAAGAAATCGTAAGTAAAGAAATAAAAGTTTACTGTTATACAGCGTATCCGTTAATTTTCGACCTTGATGAAACAAGGAAGTAGATTGCCTCAAATTAAGAAGGAATGATCTCTATTGTTTTGTGATTGTCGCAATAATTAATGAAAAATTAAATAAAGAAGATCAGCCAATCTGCGTGAGAAAAAGCGCGCGGCGATGAGAGTCGTCCCACTGTAATCTGATACTACGAGCACGCTGAAGCGGTGAGCGGGTCGCCCTCCGAGACATGATAGTGGTTTGCTATATATCGCAATACCGCGCCGAAAAATGACCCGTCCTTTTAGTGGCGAGAAAATGATGCGCTATTATTTCCACACCACCTTGCGGTAGATAGCATGGTGCGCTTTTTTTATAGTGGTTTCCCCCTAAGCGTACGTGTGAGTTCGACGCCTGCGCACTATGATTACACTCACATATCCGCTCAGCTGTCAGTTGTAGTTGCGTGCTGCTGGCGTACGCAGTCTGGTAACAGCGTGCGAGAGCTAAGACGTTTTAATAAAAACTTTGTGTTTGCGTAGTAAATTAAGAGTGAAAATGAAGTGTACTCTGCAGGAATATATGGATATAATTGTGGCATACGGACTAGCGGGAGAAAATATTTATCGTGCGGCCGCAATTTACATGGAATCATTTCTCGGGCGTGCACGAAAACCAAGTGGCCGTACAATTTTACGTGTTGTGCAATAAATTATGTGAAACTGGGTGTCGTGCATAATATCGGGATAATCGGTCCAGCAGTGCGCCTTCGTGTACGAGATAAAGAAAGGATTCTTGAAGCATTTTATCATCGTATCATTATCAACGTGTGCAATACATTTTATCGAGGGATTTTCAACCACGGATCAATTTTTGTAAAATTACTGTCACCATTAATTTTTTACATTTACAATATATTCAGCGTATAATAATGGCATTTTGAATAATTTTCAAATTGAGAGTGGAATAGGCTTATGGGGGAAACCATTATAAAGAAGCGCACCATGCTATCTACCGCAAGGTAGTGTGGAAATGATAGCGCATCATTTTCTCACCACTAAAACGACGGGTCATTTTCCGGCGCAGTATTGCGATAAATCGCAAACCACCATCATGTCTCGGAAAGCGACCCGCCCACCGCTTCGCCGCGCTCGTAGTATCGGATTACAGTGGGACGACTCTCGTCGCCGCGCGCTTCTACTCACGCAGATTGGCCGATCTTCTTTATTTAATTTTTTGTTAATTATTGCGACAATCCCAAAACAATACAGGTCATTCTTTTTTAATTTGAGCCAATCTACTTTTTTATTTCGTTAAGGTCGAAAATTGACGGATACCCTGTATACATACATGCATACATACATATGATGATAGATTGGGTCAAACTAAGAAGAATAGTTCTACCATTTTGCAAAATTCGCAATAATTATTAAGTAACAAGCAAAAATGTTTCGGCGCATGAGAAGCGGTAAACTGCACGCATCGAGCGGCGAGCGACATATGATACCGCGCCAAACAGTATTAAAAAGTATTGTCTTTTCGTTTCTTCGATAAAATGATGCGCTATCATTTTCACATCACCTTACGGTTGATAGCTTGGTGCGTTTTTTTTTATATTGTCATCAATTTTTCATATTCGCGGATTAATTTGAAAGTGAAACAACTATAGTAAATATAGAAAATATGCACAAAATTCTTCGTGCAATGTCGGCGGAATTTGTCTTATCCCGACAATATTTTGTGGACCGATGAAGCGACTTTCACACCGAATGGCGTGTAAAGAAAATTAAAAAACGCACCAAGCTATCTATCGCATTGTGGTGTGGAAATGATAGCGCATCATTTTCCCATCGCCAAAGAAACGAAAAAAAATTCTTTTTAATAATTCTGCTCGTTGCGTGTTGCTTGTCGCTCGCCGCTCGATGCGTGTGATCTACTGCTTCTCATGCGCCGGGACATTCTTTATTACTTAATAAGTATTGCAAATTTTGCAAAATGATACAGGACTTTTCTTCTTACAAGGAAAGGGTCGGAAGTGTCCCCCTCCGATTTTAATGAGCTTTGAATATGTTGTAGTCTAGATCAAAATAGGAGACACGTATTTTTTTATAAGTGCTGAGTCGGCCGTTAAGGAGGTGAAACACCTTCTTGAAAAAAATCGATTTTTTCATTTCTCAGCGGATACCGTCGAAGCGATAAGAGATATAAACAAAAGTTTCAAATAAAAGTTTTATGGTCTTTAATGTACTTCAAAATCATGTAATCAGATTTGTCGAAAATGTCATATTTTTCGAAATCCCCCCCCTCCCTTTTAATGTTTGAAAATTTTTAAATTTGTCTCATAACAAAACT